CATCACTTGAGTTCAAGTTTTGTCTTACCTCGTAAAGCTCTTCAATGTTTCTCATGCGTGGTAGTTCTCTTTCATACGAACTTGGTGGGGAAGATTGAGCTTGAGTGGAAGATGGTGGAGGAGTTATATTTTCATGATTCTCTTCAACTTCTTCTTCATATTCCATGGGGATTCGGGTCGAGCCACTCGGCCCGTGGACCGGCCCGGCCCGCTACTATGCGGGACCGGCCCGGTTCTCGGGTCCGGGTAGTTGCCCGAACCGGGGGGCGGGTCCGGGCTCGGTTCATAGGTTTGGTGACCCGGCCCGGCCGGGTCGGGCCCGGGTCCAGGCCTAACGGCCATATTTTAATTTTTTTTCCTTTTCAACTCTAAAGAGCCGTTTGGCTCTTGACCCACATCCCAAACGGCTATATAGCCGTTGGGTGGGTACGGGGGGGGGGGGGGGGGGGGGGACCTATAAATACTCCTAATTTTAAACATTTTCCCACACCTCTTCTCCAACTCTTCCTAAATCCTACTCTATAGTCTATACTCTCTACTCATCTCCATCTTCATCTTCTCAAATTCTCTTATTCTCCATTATATTTTATTTTACTATTTATTTCTTATACAATTATTATGTCTACTTATATATGAATTATCTACTTATAAATACATATACTATATTACTTATATTTCTTATCTACTTAATCTCTACTTATTATCTACTTATATCTACTTAATACATACATTCTACATCTACTTAATATATACTTTATTTATTAAAGTATTAAATATAAGTGTATTACTCATCTTATAGTAGTATACTATTATATATTATTAACTATAAACATTATATTATATATTAGTTACAAATTATTATAAAGTCTAATAAAGTCTTATATACAATTCTTATTATCTACTAATATAGTTGGAATTATATCAAATTAATTCGAACTATATTAATTAATATATTAACTATATATATTAAGTATATATATTCGATTTTTACTAATATATTACTTTTATTACATCTAATTAATATATTAAGTATAAATATACTTACACAATATATTATATATTAGTTACACTTTAATTAATATTAGTTAAAATAATTCTATTACTCATTTACTCCCATTAATTAGTATACACATTCATACATTTGTTTTATTACTTACATTTTGTATTAACATTACTTGATTAGTTAATTAGTATTCCCACTAATTGTTACATTTTTCATTAAAGTAGTTAATTAGTATTCCCATTAATTGCTACCTTAGTCTCTACTTTAAAAAACTAGTTAATTGTCATTATAGTTAAAGTCACATTATAATAGTTTGAATTTATTTGAAGGAAAAAAGTTGCTAATTTTATAGTCAAACAGTAGTTCAATTAATTTTATTAAAGTACTTAACATTTTATTAAAGTAGTTTTCACTAAATTAAAGTACTTGAAATTTTGAAAAGTTGCTATAATTTAATTACTCACATTTTAGTTAAAGTCACACTTGTAACTTTTAAGTATTTATTAAAAAAATACTATTGATTAGTTCGAATTTAAATTTTTATTTTAGAGTCACACTTTAATTCATTACTTAATTAAAGTACTTCACATTTTATTAAAGCAGTTTTCACACGATTAGTTTGAAGTATTAATTAAAATAGTTTTAATTAGTTGCATTACTTTTGTACTCATTATTATATTTGTTACAAATTAATATTTGTTACATTTTTAAGATGGAAGGTGGTAGATATTCAGTTGATATGAGTAACCTCGAGCGCAACCGAAGGAACGAGATTGGGAGGAAGAAATCCCGCAAAGGTAAAGAACTTGCCGGCTCTTCATCTCAAAGCCGAGATGATTTTGAAACGGGTTACCAAAGGAGGGATGAATATGCGATGTTCGAAGAACAACTACAACAAGAATTGGCCCGACATAATAACCGCTTTCTCCAACAGGAACAAATCCCGACGACCATTGACGAAGATGAGCTCGAGGATGACGATGCGGATGAACTTGAACCGGAGACGGACGATGGTGACGGCAACCACAACGAGGCGGACGAGCCCACCTCATCCCAACCCGGTAAGAAAAAAAGTAAATCTGAACTAATGCAAATTAATTTTGATAAGTGGAAGGACGGCCAAACCGGGTTTTGGTACGCAACTTACAAGTGGTGCAACAAAAATTATAGCTTGGGGACCTCCGGCGGATACGGATCTGACGCAAGGCATCTTAAGGCAAAGCACCCCGTGGAGTATGCAAAATTAGGCGGCGGAACGGGGAAGCGAACTCAAATATCGAGGTTTGCGAATTCTCAACCTTTTGGTAATTTTTCATACAATGATGCACAAAATTTGACTCGTATGACTAACTTAATTTGTGTAGAAAATTTGCCTTATATGTTTTCTGAAAGTCTTGCTTTAAGAGATTATGCATGCGGTAGTTTAAATCCTCAATTTAGAGGTTATAGTCGCAAAATTGTTAAGAAAGAAATTATAAGGCTTTATGGTGCGGAAAAGGTAAGGTTACAAAATTTATTTGCAAACTTTGATGGGCGTGTTACTATTTGTTCTGACATATGGGAGGATGATTTTCATCATTTAAATTATTTGGTTCTGACAGCACATTATATTGACGAGGATTGGAATATGCATAAATGTGTTCTTGCTTTTCGTGAATTTAATAATCGTCACACTGCTGAACAGATTTACATTTTGATTGAGTGTATTTTAATTGAGTATAATTTGATTGATAAAGTGTTTGCTATTGGTTTCTATAATGCTACTAATAATACTGCTGCTATACCTAGATTGCGTGAATTGTGTGGTGCCAATAGTTTGATGGGTAGATTTTTTCATCAACGCTGTGCATGCCATGTTATAAATTTATGTGTGCAAGACGGTCTAAAAGCGTTAGGAGATGCTATGGAGGTAGTCGGGGGGGGGGGGGGGGGGGTAGACGTATTTGGGGTAATGGTCAACTTAGATTAAAATGACAAACTTATTTGACTGAAAGAGGTGTGAGATATATTGCTTTTCCTAAAGATTTGAGTATTCGTTGGAATAGTACTTATAAATTACTTAAAGTTGTTCTTAGATATAAAGAACATTTTCCTGCTTTTTTAAAACAACATGATAACTATATTATAAACTCGGCTGAGATCGACACTTGTGAAAAAATTTGTAATGTTTTGATATTTTTTTAATGCAACTGAAACTTTTAGTCATGTTTATAAACCTACCGCAAACCAATTTATTCGTGAAACTGTTAATCTTGCTGGTGATTTTAAAGAATTTGAGAATGCCGTTTACGTGAGTTATTTTTGTGATTTTATGAAGGAAAAGTTTTTAAAATATTATGCACATATTCCGCATATTTATGGTATTGCATTTATTCTCAATCCTCGTTTTAGACTAGCTAATTTCAGAACCTCCTATATAAGAGGCCAATTGAACACTTTAAGTCAGTTCAAGGGTCTATTTGACCCTTTAGCCTACATTTTTCTCAAAGCTACGTATATATTGATCCTTCATCTACTGGATCTCTGTTTTGACTTTTGATTTATACAAATATTGGTATTTATAAATACGTAGCTATGTAATACTCTAGATTTACAATTTATCAAATTATTTATCCTTATGCAGTCTTCATTGTTCTAAAAATCATGATCACATATCATACATTCACACCACTGCAACTGCACTGTAGTTTCACTTCTTATTATCTTATTTTTTTTTTGCAAAAATGATGTTTTATCCACTCTTATACACACTTTTGCACACACTCATGTTTGTGAAAGTTATTTTTTTGTCTGTGAACCCCCGGGTCACAGACAATATTTTGCATAGACAAAATATTGTCTGTGACTGGGTTCATAGAAAAAAACACTTCGCAAACATAGGGGATTATCATACTACTCCTCTGTAAAAAAAATCTTCCCAACTTTCATTTTTCATCCGTAACAAAAAATCTTCTCATTTTTAAATCTTCACATCATACCCTCAATAATTTTAAAAATAATACACTATTACAACTATTTTTTTGGGATTTATCCTTCTTTCCAACACATTATTCCACTACCTTCTCATCATACTCTCAATAATTCATATCATGTTTCACTATTCTTAATCTACCTACTTTTGAAATGAAAAGATTTTTAAGTCACAGAGGGAGTATTATTTATTAAGTAGTTAATTTTAAAATTAGTATAGTCCTAAACTCGTTGTATTAAACAAAAAACAAATGCTTAAATTTAATGACGCCCCTTTTGATTTTTTTATCTACTAACTGCTACAACTAAAAAACTAATTTATCAAATATCTTTTTGCAACCCACCAAACTAAATTGTTGATCAAATCCGTTATTTACTACCCGCTAATATAATTCGCTAAGTAGCTAGTATAATTCGCTAAGGGTAATTCTATTTACAGCTCTAAAATTGCTATTCACAGCCCCAATTAATTTCATTGCCTACTTTACCCTTAGATCGACGGAATGTAACCTTGTTCACAGCCCCTGTTAATTTCGCAGCCCCTATTGACTGAACCTTGTTCAATAGGCAAGAAACTCAAAAGATGTATCACACCCCCTATTAATTTCACATCCCTTATACTCAACTTGTTTCCTTAAGAGCCCGTTTGGAGAACTCTGTTTTCGGCTTATCAGGCTTATCAGCCAGCTTTTTCACCAAACACGTAACTTTTACTTTCATGCGCTGAATTGTGTAATAAGCCGAAAAAGTAAGGTTAGAGTTACTTTTCTGGCTGTATTGGCTGAAGTTACTGTAGAGGACCATTTTAGCTATTTTTACATATAATTTTTTCTTTAATTTATTAATAAAATATATTTTTAAAATATTTTTTTCTTAAATCAGCAGAATCAGCCAAAACAGCCACTCCAGCCAGAATATCATAAATTTCAGCAGAATCAGCCAAAACAGCCGATTTTGGTGCTACCAAACGGGCTCTAAATCTTTTATGTTGTACGGAGTATTAGTATATTGTTGTTTATAGTGTTATGAACTTCCTACAATAGCTTCACTCCTCATCGTGTATTTAGGCTTGGTGTTTGAGACCTTTGAGATGAAGCTTGATTGGCTACAGATGGGTTACATGTTGATGTGGAATGTCAGGCCTCGAAGACGAATCCTCGTTAGCAGCAAGTGAGCCATCGTCATCGGTCTTGAGGCCCCTCGTTAACAACCCATCATTCGCCGTTGGTCGCCGGAATTAGCAAGCCTCTTCGCAGATCTTGTCTGGCGGCTATTAACTTGTCCCTCAGCAACAGAGATGGAATAGCCGAACTGGACACTGCTAACATCACTGATTGCCCTCATTCTTGCATTCTCGCCGGTGAAATAGCCGGTTTTCTTTTGGTTGCCAAAAACAGAGAGAAGGAGTGCGCGTGCGGACGAGTCAAAACAAATGGCTGGTCTTATTCTAAGGATATAATAGGAATAAAAATAAATATGTGGCTTTATTTAGTAAATTGGGGGCTGTGTTTAGAATCGGTAACCAGACAGGCCCCTTGTTAAATGGGTAGTGCGATTAGGCCCGGTGTTCTAACAAGGCAAGCCCAAGAGGACCAATTGATCTTGGACAGAAGTCGATTCTTCATCTTCGTGTATCGGTGGCTGCGCTCCTCCCCTTTTTTCCTTCTCTGCATTCAGGACAGACGAGTCCCCTGTGTCTCCTCCTGCAACGATTTTCCGTTATTATCCGAAACTCTTCATACTTCGAATCTCAAGCTCCCGCCTGGACCTTCCAGTTCTTTCTGTCCTTTTCGTTTTTGGGGGCTTTAAGAGATGGGGAAGTTTAGAAAGCCATCCCAAAAAACGATAACAGAGAGTGAAAGTGGTTCTGAAATCGACAGTGATGAAGTTCTAGATAATATATCATCTAATGTTGGTTCTTTTTTGTTGTCTCTACATACCTATCTCTCTACTTGTTAAATTATTTTATTTACTAGTTCTCGCTTACCGTTATTAGGACGAAGAGGAGGAAAATTTCGTAAGTGACGACGGGGAAGAGGGAAACACTGAAAGTGATGATTTTGGTGACGAAGATGGAGAAGAAGCGGGTTCCTATGAAAAGAATGAATCTGGTGATGAAGACGATTATGAGGAAGCGGAACAAAAGGAGGTGCTAAAGAATGCTGAAATGGAGGAGCTTGAGAATGAATATAGGAAACTACAGCAAACTGAGCAGTAAGATCAATTATCTTTAATTGTACCTCTTTTGGGAGAATTACTGAGTTGAGTTTTCTTTTGTTATAATTATGTGGCATATGAAGTTTAAGAAAAGCTAACAGATGAGCTATATGCGCCAAAACTGTAAATTCCTTGTCTGCAATAGGGCATACTGCAAGAGTGCCAGTCCCATACTCCCATAGTTATTAAACAACTCTATACATTTGGAAGGCTTATTTCTAAGAATATCTTTTAAGTTCTAACTTTCAAATGGTACTGCATTGCAAATGATTTGTGATATATAACTCTATTTTGTCATTTATTTTCAGAGAGCTATTGAGCAATCTAAAAAGCCATAAGAATGAGGATATTTTAAAAGGTGAAGCAGTGAAAAATCAGAAGGTATGATGCTGCCTGAAAGCCTTCTAATTCTAGCTATGTACTAGAAGATCATGTGTGTCTATTTGTGGGTGGTGATTATTTTAGGGATTTAAGAAAAAGTGCATAAGGATGTTTTTACGTGGACAGAAATTTTCTGGTTTGATCTTGTCTGGCCTGGTCTGTTAAATGTCTGGTCTCTTTGTATTTCATAACTATCCAAGTCTTGTCTGGTCTGGATTGGTATGGGACTGAAAACAGTCCAAGCAAAAACATCTCCTAATTGTAAAAGTTGGTAGTGCTTTTTTGAGAATATAAGGATGAAATGATATATAAATTGTGAAAAGCAGTTTTTTCACCTACGGCTTTGAGCTTTAAGTGCTTAAATTAAAGCATAAACATTTTTTGAAAGCACTGTTATTTTTTTGAAGCTAAAAGCTGAAAAGCGCGTTTGGAAGCAACGACAAAGGTTTGCCTTAGTGGCTAAGTTGCATCTATGGTTTAAGATTCATCGCAAATTCATAATAATGTTTCTTTCCAGCAGCTATTTTATTTTAAGGAGATTTGTATTATCTTCTTCCCAGCAGTCATTTTATTAATTTTCAAAGAGATTTGTATATTTTGTTAGTAACTTTTGTATTTATTTTGTCAATTTTATTCTTCCATTTTCTAGTTTCATTGTCAATATATATCCATTTCCTGATATGTATATTTATTCATTTGCAAAGGCTCTTTGGGATAAGACTCTTGAGATAAGAATCTTGCTGCAGAAACCATTCTCAAGCTCCAATAGACTTCCACAGGTCCATATTCTCTTGAACTATTTTTGCTAGTCCCATCTACTTCTGCTTCACATTATGGTTAAATTTAAGTTTGTTCTCTTCAGGAGCCAATTAAGTCTTCATTCTGTGATTATGGTGATGAAATTAGTGAAGCATATTCAGATCTAATTGGTTCTTCAATGAAGACTTTGGAGTCTATATCGGAATTACAAGCGGTAGGCTGACAAAGCCATACAACCTATCAATGCAAATATGATTTTCATAGTCTATTGTTACCTTGTTTTCTTGTTTTACGTTGTCTCCAGTCTTAAAGTTGGATACAGTGTTGAATGTTTTTTCATAATTTGCTTAAAAATCTTTTTTTTTGCAGGCACTTCTTGAGAATAATCCATCAATTACTCAATCCACAGATGGTATGGCATACTTTTACGCATTTTTAACTAACTATTTGAATACCTGGTTGTGTCTAATTACGTATCTTCACAATTAAAAGTTCTGAGCTTATCTGTATCAGGATCTTGTATTTGATGAGTTCTTCTTTGATTCAAAGCAAGTGGAATGAGGACAAAACAAGCATATTATATTATGCTAGTTTTAGACTACATCATACGTTCTATTGTTATGTTGTACTGCTAACTTAGTTTAATCAAATACTCATGTTTGTTTACCATCAAATTAAAGCTATGTTGCATATCCCCGTGTAGTATGGATTTATGGCGGTATATTGCAATGATTGGTTTGCTTAATATTTGCCCTAAAAGTTAATTATGAAATAGGAACTGATGTTGTGGAAGAGTCTCATCAGGCAATTGGTGAAATTGATGAAGAATGGTCACAAATTGCTCAAATGCATTCAAGGTTGTATTGATGGATACCTTATAGATATACTTTTAATCCATTATTATTGGTTGCTACATACTTTATACCAATGCAATGTTCAAAGATTAAGTATTCAAGCTTTACATGGAGCCCCTTCCAATCTGTTTATATATTCTTGAAAGAAATTTGTGGGGAGCGTTTACATGTAATACTTTAGAATAACTTTAACTAAAGTTATAACTTAAGCAGCATATAATTATATTTTTGATACTGTTTTGGCCTTTATGGAATGTGATCTATGCATACCAAAATTTATTTGCTTCTCTTTTTTTCTTTTCTAATATTAAAAGAAAAAAATTAAAAGAAGAAACTTCAGCAATTTGTTTCTGTCTTACATTCTAAATGAGTTAATATTGTACTGGTGATACTGTATGTATTTATTTTTATTTGATGTTGTCTCACAGATTAGTAATATGATTAAGTTCAGATTTATTTTAGCTTCTTTTGAAATGTGCAAAATAAACTTATTTATAGGTACTTGGGGATATTGGACATGTAAGGATTAATTTGAAAAGATAATCTAAAATTTTGAGATTCAAACCCTATGTCCTTATATTTGAGTTGATGAATTTGAAAGATAATTTACAAACTGTTAGTTTAAATTTAATCAGAGAAGTGGCTATAAGATTTTAATGAAGAACTTAAGAAAGTATGTAAAGATAACCGATAAGGGTGTAAGAAAGATTTAATTAAAAAAAATTATTCACACTTTTCCAATTATATGAGGTCATCTTTTAAACAATTTCTTTCTTACCCTTCCATACAAATCCCTCAATCCAAACATAGGGTAAGCCTCACATTAGCGGCAGTTAAAACTTGAGGATCAAAAGTAGAAAATTTTTCTTTGTATTATATTATTTATGTAATTATTTATTTGCATAAGCTAATGCTTCTTATGGCTTTCATGTTGCTGAGGACAGAGTGGCTTCTTTTAGAGACAAGTCAATAGACAAATGGCAAAGAAGGACCCAAGTAACAACCGGTGTTGCTGCAGTTAAAGGAAAATTACATGCATTTAATCAGGTTTGATTTGCCATTGAAGGATTTTGATTTCTTGTATGTATGAAAAAATGAACCAGCTTTTCACGTTTACTATTTAATTGCAGAGCATTAGTCAACAAGTGAGTAATTACATGAGGGATCCAAGTAAAACAATAAAGGGTATGCAGCTGAATACGTCCGCTGTAGCTATATTTGGTACTGTAAGTCTCTCTTCTTTGCGTTTAGTTTTCTCTCTTTTTGTGCTTCCATTTGGTTGGTCTAGTATTGACTTGTACAGTTGTACTAAAAAATCGTGATCAGGTTCCTAATATTGATCATACAGCCACACAAGAGGTATATTCCCTAATTTGGTTAACTATTTCATTAAATATCTCGTTAATACCTTCCAGCATATATTGTTTTTCTTCTACAAGTTTCATATTTTATGCAATAACTTTTACTTACGGCCCATTAGGATTGAGGAACCCTGAAATTGCTAGGGAAATAAAACAGGGCAGCAAGTCTAAAGGAAAATAAAATTGAGGGAAATAAAACAAAACAGGTTCATACTCAATGAACCAGTTTTAGATTTTTGTTCATACTCATTTTGTTGGTATATTTCTATCTTATTAAGTCATTTGCAAAAATTCTTCTGTAGCATCTATTAACCACGTAGGTACGTGGTTGGACTAATAATGTCTGCGTGCAATATAACAATTTGAAAACGGAAACATTATATTTTTTTCAAAGGTGAAGGCAAACGTAAAAGTAATAGTTTCCAATCATAGCCTAAAGGGTTATTATTTTCCCATGCACCCTGAGGCGGGGAGATTAATTTTATATATATATAAATATGGTCAGGGTATAAATGTTGATGGCAATCCAGAACTACTATATGACGAGGACTTCTATCAGCAGTTGCTCAAGGAATTTTTTGACTCTGTTGATCCAACATCATCCGGTTAGATTCTTCAATTTGGCGGAGTATTCCATCATCTTTTTTCTTTTTTTCACACACACACATAAACATGTCTGTTAGTAGTTGAAAGCAAATTTGTGTCATAATACCAATGTGTGAGCTCTTGACTGGAAGTTTATCTGCTGTCGCTTTTTTCGATGATTAAATGACAATATAAGCTTCATGACAGTAACCCCGACTAGTTCGGGGTGATGATGACAGTGATAAAACCGATGTGCAATATGTTATTGTTGGTCCTACCCCAAAATATACAATGGGGACCCCATTAAGTATATTTTGGAACCTGGGAAATTCTAGGAAACGTGAAAAATCACCATTAGTGTATTATCCTATACTTGATTATAGATTACTTAGTCCTTTTATAATTGAGGTGATTAAATAAAATGAGTAAACAAATTTGTTTAGAAAAATTATAGATTTTAAGTTTATCCCCCCATGTGTCTTTTCTGTCTTTTTCATTTCAAATTAATTTGATATTCTTTTTGGTCTGCAGGGAATACAATTTACCCTCGGAAAAGACTGCAAACAAAGAAAGTGAAAGTTGTTGACAGACGAGCATCAAAGAGTCGTAAAATCAGGTCAGTTATGAATGGATGATCAGTATGTAGTATAAAGTTTGTTACAATATCAGAATTCACACCTCAATTTCCATCATTTGCAATGGAGCCAAAGATTCATTATTTTTTGGCTTGAAAATATGATGGAATAAAGCAAATGACTCACTAAACTGTCTGCGCTTCTTTGTTATGAAGCAACAGTCAGTCCATGCATTTTCCATGCATTTCTGGACGCGATTTTCACTATGGGTCATCCGGAAACAGTCTCTATGTGCTTTAGTACAGGGGTAAGAATGCGTACATCCGACCCCCCCTTAACCCACCGTAGGTGGGAGCCTTTGCGGCACTGGGGTAAATGAAAAAAATCAGAATTCGCACCCCCTCGGCTCTCGATAGGGTGCTGGCTAGCCAACGACCAAGTAGACCCCTACATTGTGACCCTAGACTGTAAATAACCATTGAGGCAAGCCAGACTAATTCACTCATAGTTGTTGACTGGCTCATCCATGCAATAACAAGTTTTGATGTTGAATGCAGATACAATGTTCACGAAAAGATCGTCAATTTCATGGTTCCAGAGCCCATGGATATGCCTCCCATGGCCCCCAAGTTATTCGAGAATTTGTTTGGTCTTAGAACACAGAGTCAAGCTTCTTAAGTACTCCATAGTATGTAATAATTTAAACTAAATGTTCATCAAGATCATATTTTTATGGAATATTGGATTCATGTCCATTGTATGTGAAATGTTTTGCGACAGTCCTATTTAAGGATATCATTACCATGCCCTTGTACACTTGTGTAATATATCTACATTAAGTGGCGTTTTAGTTTTCCTTAGCACTTGTGTAGTTGTGCGTTTACCAACTTGCTCTGTTGCTTTTCTTGTTTTTCCGCACTGCTAACGTTACTTTTCACTTTTTATCGAGTGTCTCATTGTCAGATTCTCTATGATGTCGATTTCAAAGTCATAATTGACAGTTTATTCACTGGAACACCATGTAGTGGAAATGGCCTTGGACTTAAGGTCATGCTAGATATGTAATCAGGCATTGGAGAAATGGTAACAAGTTCTCTTACTTCTCTATAGTGATCAACATAGATTGACGAACCTCATAAGACTTGGGTGTTCCAGATGCATATAAACATCATTCAGATCTCCATGCAAGAACACAATCAAACATTCTTCTGACCAAGCTCTCAGTTTTAAGATGTAGCGACTGATAGGGATGGACTCGGTTCGGACCGGGCCCGGTTCGGGTCTTGAACCGGCCGGGCCTCGGTTCAAGGTATTGGAGGCCCGGAACCGGCCCGGGTAAACCCGGGTCCGGTTCGGGCCGGGTCACCCGCCCGGTTCACGGGCCGGGCTGCCCGTCGGGCCGGGCCTTATAATTTTTTAAAAAAATTATATATTATATTATTATAATAATTCTTATTAAAAACAAAATTCAAGTGCATTTATTTGAAATAGGAAGTACATTTGAGAATTGAGAAAACAATAACAATATCAAATACATTTTATAATAAATATCAATTGGGATTTCTGCCATCATTGGTTGTTGTTTTGCCTTTGTCACATGACTTCATATGTTTTATTGGCATCCCGACTCCGTGTGAACGCCCCAAGCAACACTCTTTCTTGCACCACTTGCAAGTTGCCCACCACAGTCCGGTCTTCGGGTCCTTCCACTTATCAAAATTATTTTGCATAACAGAAGAATTACTTTCCATCTTTAAAATGGTAGATGTATAAGTAGAAATGTAGGATTATAAGAGAAGATGAAGATGGAGAAGAGTTGGATAAGAGGTGTAGAAAAATGGTAGAAAATAGATGTATTTATAGATTTTTTTGAACCCCACCCCCACACCACCACCCCCGGGACCCCTGTCCCCCACCCTAAGCCCCAACGGCTATATAGCCGTTTGGGAGCAATTTTGTATTTCAAAATGTTTTAATTTTTTTTTTGAAAATTATACATATTGTAAAATAAGTTAATTAATTTAATGAATTAAGTAAAACTATTTTTACTTATAAAAGTGATTTGATTTATAATTTACAAATGTTACAAAATAGGTGTATAAGTATTTAAACAAATTACATATTGAAGTTGTAACTTGTAAGTTTGTAACCAATTAATTAATTTACATATTAATATTATTTTGAATTGATTACAAATTTACAAATTAATACAAATTTTATGAGAATTATTGAAATATGAAGTACAAGTTTACAAATTGATTTTATTGAATTGATTATTGAATACATTTTTTTTGAGAATTATTGAATTGATGTACATAATAATATAAAATAATTCAAGTATATTTATTTCAAATAAGAAGTACAATTGAGAATTAGGATGCATTTAAAAAATGTAATACATTTTGTAATAAAAAATCAATCGGAATCTCCGCCTTCGGTGGTTGTTTTCTCCATAAAGTGGCGGGTGGGAGCGATGGTCATTTCTTGAGTTCTTCGTTTGGCCTTCAACCAATCGTGGAAGCAAACTAGCGTCTCAAGAGAGCTCGGGTTCAACCTCGTTCTATAATCGGTTAGGACGTTGCCGGCCGCACTAAAATCTTGTTCCACGGCAACTGTTGATATCGGCATTGCTAGCACTTGCTTAGCCATCTTTGATAAAACCGGGAACGTTCTTTCATTTTCCTTCCACCACTTAAGAACGTCAAAGTCATCCCCAACTTCATAATCAACATTCAATGTTAGATACAAAGAAAGCTCGTTAACTGAGCTTTGTTCAGTAGCGGGAGTTGCTCTACTTTTTTTCATAAGAGAACCAAATGCAGATTTTAAAAGTGATTTTCCTTTAGATGAAGAAGATGTTCGCGGCATGGGAGGGGTGCATTACCATACTATGCATGAAATTCATTATACAATTGATGAAATAAATTACTAACCTCGTTGTATTCTTGTTTAGGGTCGATGGGATTATCATCGAACTCTTGAGTTGGGAAAAAACAAGCATAATAGTAATCTATACAACTTGGCAACGAGGCAAGTTTATAACGAGGATCAAGAACAAATGCAATACCATATATATGCGGAACATGTGAATAATATTTTAAAAACTTTTGTTTCATGAAATCACAAAAATAACTAACGTAAGCGGCATCAGAAAATTCTAAGAAAGCGCCGGCGAGATTAACAGCTTCAACAAAAAATTCGTTTGCGGTAGGTTTATAAACATGACTAAAACACTACAATAAAATTCATTTATAGAGGCAACTCATTGAGGCAACTTATATATTATTGCCTCTAAAAATATACTTTTGCATCAAATGGATCATGGTTGCCTCTAATTTAGAATATTTGAGGCAACCTTAATATATTTGCTTCTAAAAGGTGCTATTTAGAGGCGCACACTTATGGTTGCCTCTAAAAAGTTCTATTTGGAGACACATTTTTATGGTTGTCTCTAAAAGGAGCTATTTGGAGACACACTTTTATGGTTGCCTCTAAAAAGAACTATTTGGAGGCACACTTTTATAATTGCCTCTAAAAGGTGCTATTTGGATGCACACATTTATGATTGCCTGTAAAAACATTTATACTATTATAATTGTTTCTAAAGCATATTCTCATAAAGGTCAACATGTTTAAAAGCAAAATTTATACCAAGTATTTAACACGATGGTAATTATTTTTATAATTACAGTTACAATTGTAATTGTTTTTATAAATTATTATTATAGTTATAATTAGAGTTTTGAAAACAACAACAACAACATTAAACTCAATCATGTCAGAAATATTAAATCAAAATAGTATGATTCAGATCATATCATAATCATTCGGATTAGATCATACGAGATAAAAAATATTCAAATCTGATCAGAAAAATTCTGATCAGAAAGATTTTAATCAGATTAAGAAGATTCAGATTAGATTAGATCAGATTAGGAAGATTCAGACCAACACAGATCAAAAATATTTAAATCAGATCATATAGGATCAGAAAGACTCTGATCAGTTCAAAAAGAACCAAATTAGATCAGATGAAAAAGATTTATATCAAAAAAATCACATATTAAAAATTTCAAATCAGAAAATTTTAAATTAGGAGAACGGAACACAGTTTCTAAGTTTTTTTTTCTTTTGGAAGAGAAGAGTTTCCAAGCAATTAATTTAAAAATACTCCGTAAAACCTTAATTACTCGGTATAACCTACGGACTATTTTGGAGTTAATTTAAAAATGCTCCGTATTAGCGAACAACGAGCGACACAGTGTTGTTCGACACAGTAGACCACTAGACCTACTTCCTACGCTTCAGCCGTTCATTCTCCATGGCATCCAAAACCCAGATCTCGTTTTTACCTCTGAAGGACCGCCGAACTACGGAAGCACGCCAGATTAGTTGAATCGCCGCAAACACCATCGACCTTGACAAAAGCAAGTAATCTTACTAAGAGCGGCTAATATGGAGCGGAATCTCCGTCGCCATCGTCCTGTAGACTCCAACCATGTGCGGCTCCACCTTGGCGATGGCAGAATCTCTGGCCGCCGATTGGAAACTGCAATTTACTACCACGTAATTGGAGTACGACCTCAATGACGATGCTTGTTGTTCGTGAGCGACGCAGGGCAGCATATCGCGATGGAGTGCGCCGACGGGTGATGGGGCGCGTAGCCTACTCTCCACACGACTGTGACCAGTGGTCGTACAAGCGTAATCAACCATATATGATGTAGGGGAGCTCTTGCTTTGAATAATATCAGACCAGGTTGGGGTTTTATTTCTTTACTACTAATTCTAGATCTTTCTGTGATACGGATACCTAGAGAAATATTGTCATTGAAAGCAAGCATTTCTCCTTCAATACATCTTCCTCTTTAATCGGCATTAGAGAGAGTAAACATGGATTAGTTTTTGTTATTGATTTTGATTTTGATTATGCCATTTGATTGAGCAAAATCTTGTCAAAGCTTCGGTCTGGACAACCATTTTCCAGATTGGTTATTAACGAATACATTATGTAATATTCTGATTCGCTTAGGCTCAGAAAATTCATTTATATGAGTGCATCCATTTCTTCTGTATATATGCTTAAAGCCCTTTTACATCTTGGTGAGTGTTTAAATTAAACGCAACAGTTTCTCATGTTTCTCATGTTTCCTATTTTTATTGGAGTTATTGATATAATTATTGTAACCTCAAGTTAATCAATCCTTAAATTTGTATAATTGAAAGGTTAAAGTTTTATTTGCAACTTTAACAAGCAGTGATCTGTTATCTTACTTTTATGCTGTCATTATGAAACGTTGCTTGTGTAAGTTAACATCATTAACTTAGGATGGGAATATGACTGATATCATATTTGTGTGAAAACTTTTTTTTTAGATTTAGATATTTCTCTCACTCAATTTAGCTTGCTCATTGAAGCAGCCAACTAGTAGTGATTTCAATTAGTGATATAAAGATTAGAAAGTGCATTTTCAAGTATTACTTGTAGAAGCAAAACTAAACATTATAAGGTGATGTGTATTCGTACTTTTGTATTTTCATTATGAAAAAATGTTTCTGTAACTTTTTACAATATTAACTTAGGGTAATGATATCTTGTTTGGGTGAAAACCTTTTTTTTAAATAATTTGTGATTTTAGATATTTCTCTCACATGATTTAGTTTGTTTTAAGAGGCAACCAACTAGTAGCAGTGATTAAAACTAGATATATACACAATTGTAAAATGCATTTTCAAGTAAACGTTACTTTTGCATTGATGTTTGTTTAATACGACTAAGCATTACTTTTGCATCTATATTTTCTCGTCCTAATACAATTAATCAATGGTTTTATGTTTTGCAGTCTGGCTAAACAGAATGTGAAGTGACTTATAGAGCAGGTTGTGACTCAATGTAGAAGAGGTACATCTTATAGCTTCTTTGAATCTATCGTCTATGTATA